GTAATGTTTTGAATAAATTAACATATTATGACGTAACGGTACTTAGAGTTAGTTGTAGAGCACGAGGCGAGGGAGTAAACCGAGTTACATGTGAGCACATGATTAGGCCCTTTTTAACAACATAACATTTGGCGACGAGGATTAAAACAAAAAGCAGATAACGTGGAGGGAAAGCACATGCCATTTCTGTTAAGTTTCAGAATTTAAGATGGCGACGGCAGCACGATTAGATTTATTACCGCTTCCACCGTTCGACCCTGTGTCCGACCCGACGTCCATAAGCCAACGATGGCAACATTGGAAACGCCGTTTCGAAACATATTTACTTGCCGTAAATATAACTGATAATGCTCAGAAACGTGCCTTACTGTTGTACCAAGCAGGTGCCGCCACTCAAGAAATTTTCGATTCTCTCCCAGTTGAGCAAGATGAAGCTACAGATTACAAGACAGCGTTGGCAAAACTTGACACTTACTTTGCCCCGCAGAAAAATGTCGACTTTGAAATTTTTCAATTTCGCCAAGCCAAACAGAAGATTGGAGAAACTACTGATCAATTTGCTACACGACTTTGCAAACTTGCTACAAATTGTGAATTTACAGATTTAGATAAGGAAATTAAATCTGCGATTATGCAAAACTGCTCGTCTAAGCAACTCAGAAGGCTTGCTTTGCGGGAAGAGAAGCTTACACTTGCCGTGTTGTTATCAAAAACACGTATTCTGGAAGCCAGCGATACACAAGCTAAAGATATAGAAGAAAGTCTCATGCAGGTAGAAACTGCCCAGCTGGTTCGTAAGCCTCAGCTGAAAACCTGTTTCAACTGTGGTTTTTCATGGCCTCACCGTACTTCCCCTTGCCCCGCCAAGACTCAAAGTTGTCGCAAATGTGGGCGTGTTGGACATTTTGCTAAAGTCTGTAAAAGCCGCGCGAAACAACCGCGTGCCGTTAATGACCCGCTTACGCAAGACCATAAGAAAGGAGGTCATAAATTCGCAAATCAAAAAGGAAAAATACATCATGTACATGGAAAAGCACCTCAACATACACAAGAGCCTACTCCAGAGTCTAGCAGCGACGAAGGTTATTTGTTTACGTGCGATGATCAACGCGAAATAAAGATGCCACAAGTCCGTGTAAAAATTAATAACACCCCTGTGAAAATGATTTTGGATACAGGAGCATCGATCGATATTTTGGATGAATCAACATTTCATCAGGTCAAGGCAGCTAAGAATATCCATCTTTCTCGTTCAACGACAAAGCTTTTTGCATATGGTTCTGAACAACAGCTTCCAGTTTTGGGAAAATTTCATGCCACGATCGAAACAAAGGACCGAATCGCGCCCGTTTGCCTACATGTGGTTCGGGGAAATTCTGGATCTTTGCTCAGTTACACAACGGCTGCTGACTTAAATTTGATTCAGATTAAGCTAAATGCAGTGAAAACAGGACAATCTACCCCTGCCACTACCGAGAATTTGGAAGCCACATACCCGAAACTATTTGATGGAATAGGAAAGCTTAAAGACCGTGAAATCAAACTGCATATCGATAGCACCGTTCCGCCGGTGGCTCAGCCCGCTCGACGTATACCATTTCATTTGCGGAAGAAAGTGTCGGAAACTCTGCGTGATTTGGAAGACCAAGGCATTATTGAAAAAGTGGCAGAAACAAGCACCCCCTGGATATCACCCTTGGTCGTAATTCCAAAAAACGACGGAACTGTTCGCTTATGCGTGGACATGAGAATGCCTAACCGCGCGATTCAACGGGAACGCCACCCTAGCCCTACCATCGACGACCTTATACACGCGTTAAATGGTGCTACAGTTTTTTCCAAGTTAGATCTTCGCTCTGGTTACCACCAACTGGTTTTATCAGAAGAAAGCCGTCACATCACTACTTTCGCTACTCATAAAGGGTTACGAAGATATACACGTCTTAACTTTGGAACGTCGTCAGCAAGCGAAATTTTTCAGAACGCCGTTTACGAACAAATTCGGAATATTGAGGGTGCCGTAAATATCAGCGACGATGTTATCATTTATGGTAACACCCAAAACGATCACGACCGCGCGTTACATGCGGTATGCAAACGATTCCAAGATATGGGGTTGACGTTAAACAAGGCAAAGTGCGAGTTAAACAAAAAGGAGATCACGTTTTTTGGCTATGTGTTTTCTGACAAAGGAATCTCTGCCGACCCCCAGAAAGTTCATGCAATTCACAACGCCCCGCCGCCACAGTCAGTCAAGGATATTCGCAGTTTCTTAGGGATGGCAAACTACTGTGCAAAATTTATTTCACAATTCAGTGATATCAGCGAGCCCTTGCGAAACTTAACAAAGAAAAACAGTGTTTTCCGGTGGACCCCTAAGGAACAAAAGTCGTTCGATAACATCAAGTTGGCATTGACTAGTGACAAGGTGATGGCATATTTTGACCAGACAAAACAGACTGAGTTGTTTACGGATGCTTCGCCTACAAGCTTTTTTGGCTATTTTGTCGCAAATTACACCTGGCCAAGAAGACAGAAAAGTTGTAGCCTACGTAAGCCGATCGCTCTCAGATGTAGAAAGAAGGTACTCGCAAACTGAAAAAGAGGCATTAGCTATAGTATGGTCTATTGAACGCCTTCACATTTACTTATATGGTGCAAAATTCAAGCTCTTTACGGATTGCAAGCCAGTCGAACTTATTTTGTCTAACCCAAAATCACGACCACCCGCTAGAATTGAACGCTGGAATTTACGTATTCAGGATTACGATTTTGAAATTGTTTATAAACAAGGAGCTCAAAACCCTTCGGATTTCTTGTCAAGACACACCTTTACGGATACAACTAGTAAATCTCAGTCATCAACAGCCGACAAATACGTCAATTTTCTCGCTCGTCATGCTGTTCCGAAGTCTATGGACTACAAAGAAATTCAAGATGCCACATTCGCAGACCAAACCTTGCAAGCTCTCATACGCCTTATTCATGATAATTCGTGGAACAACATTCGAAGTATGCAATCACCTGACGTTGATAAAGAGGAATTAAACTTATTTGCTAAAATAAGAAGCGAATTAACTGTCAATGATGATGCAAGCCTAATTCTGCGAGGATCACGAATTGTTCTTCCTAAATTTCTCCGCCATAGAGCCATAGCAATTGCTCACGAAGGACATCAAGGGATCGTCAAAACCAAACAACTTCTACGAGAGAAAATTTGGTTTCCTAACATCGATAAATCTGTCAAAGATGTGCTTGCAAATTGTTTACCCTGCCAAGCCATTGGTCCGGAAAATAGGCCTGCCCCATTACATATGAACGAATTGCCTCCGAAGCCCTGGCATACTGTACACATTGATCACTGTGGACCGTTTCCTACCGGAGAATATATTCTCGTGGTCATCGATGCTTACTCTCGATTCCCAGAAGTGGACATTGTGCATTCCACATCAGCCTCTGCGACAATTGCTAAACTCGATCGAATTTTCGCAACACATGGATTGCCCCACGTAGTTAAAAGTGACAATGGCCCACCATTTAACAGTGCTGACATCAAGGATTACATGAAAGAAAATGGCATACATTTTCAACCCATAACACCGTTGTGGCCCCAAGCCAATTCCGAAGCTGAGAACTTTAACAAACCAATGACTAAAGCCATCAAAGCAGCACAAGTGGAGGGGAGAAATTGGAAGAAAGAGCTTTACAGATTCGTTCTAAATTACCGTGCCACTCCACATACAACAACAAAATATCCTCCAGCACAGCTACTTTTTCATCGCAAAATTCGGATAAAGTTGCCAGACACAGTGGAAAAGAGTCTATCGCCCTTGGACGAAGATATTCGCAAAAACGACACACAGGCAAAGGCAATGATGAAGCAAAATGCGGACCGGAAAAGAGGAGCTAAGGAACGTAAAATGAGTATTGGCAATCTGGTACTAATTCGACAAAGAAAAAGAAACAAGTTAACATCCAAATTCGATCCGAAGCCTTTTCGTATAGTACGAATAAAAGGAACGATGATCACAGCTTGTAGAAATGGACATTACGTAACAAGGAACATTTCATTTTTTAAGCCAATTCAGGAAAGAAAGGATTTGGAATTTTACAATGATGCGGATGATGAAGAATCATTAGAACTACCTGCGACCGGAGAAGGACAGCAAGAAGAAGCAGACACCCAGAATAACGCCAGATATCCACAAAGAATTAGAAGAAGAGTTCAAAGATATGGACAAAACATTTACGATACGTAAGCAGAAAGTACTGTGAGTTTAACGCTTTCACTTATTTTATTCGATTTTCAGAAGTTTAAAAAAAAAATGTTTTGTTGTCGTGTAGACCTAGTTATCTTACTGTTAGAAAGTTTGGACTTGATAATTTGAACTTTAATTAACTTTATATTTTAGCCCCAGACACTATTCTGAAGAAAAGGGGAGATGTAATGTATTGAATAAATTAACATATTATGACGTAACGGTACTTAGAGTTAGTTGTAGAGCACGAGGCGAGGGAGTAAACCGAGTTACATGTGAGCACATGATTAGGCCCTTTTTAACAACATAACAGCACTTCCATCTAAAACAACACGAAGTTTTGTTGTTTCACGATCTCGTCGAATTACACCATGGTGACTCATAAAATGAGGATTACCCTGATTCTCCTCCTCCACAGGGACTTGCTCAATTATTCCGTTGTTTAATTGCTCTTTGAAAATGTTATCATATTCAGATAATAATTCAGGGTTTCCTTTTAACCTGCAAAGCAAAGATTTTAAGCGATTTAATGCCAAGTTATAATCATCATTAAGGCAAGATATATCAACCTTCCAAGGAAGGCTTACCTGGTACCTTTTACCATTAAAGGTGATTTCAAATTGCTCGTCTTGTTTGTTTTCATTTGTGGGTTCACTCCCCTTGTCAATCCCGGATGATTCTTGTTTCCAAAACTCGCGAAGCGTTTGCGTTATTTCCTCATTTTCTTCGACAGGCCTTCCAACTGACGTATCTAAAATCAAATTAGAAGTCACTTTAGAATAGGTTTTAGGCTCCAAGGATCCTGGTACTTTTCCCGAAAGTAGCCATCCTAATTTGCTACTTACGGCTATTGGCCCTGATGTACCTCTAATAACATCACCAATGATTACATCATATAAATAATCATTACCAATAAGCAAATCAATGCGCCTATTTTGCTCGCTTAGCTTCTTGTCCGCTAGATTAAGGCCTATCAAATGCTGATACTTGCTTACGTCTATGCGCGTATTTATAGGCGAACAAATAGACTGATAGCTTATGGCGCTTATCAAAATTGGCGTCTCATCTATTCCTGTCTCTAACATTAACTTAACGACGTCACATTTCTTGCGTACTGATTTCTCAGTTCCAAATGTGTTCAAATTTAAGTTTTCCTGTCTTTCGACTTCCAGATTTAGTTTTCGTCTGACTTCTTCAGAGATGTAGCTTCGTTGGCTCCCACTATCGAAGAAAACATTGATTTTCATCCTCTGATCCTTGTCTGCCCCATAAACATACGCAGTGGCCGTCTGCAGCAAAACTTCTTGTTTTCCTGTAACACTGGTAGTTACTTTTGTTTCTTCCTCCGTTTGTTTTGCTCCTTTGTAGCAAATTGACTCGTGGTGAAAATTTCTGCCACATTTTTTGCAATTTCGATTTTCCCGACACTTTTTTGTCATGTGTCCAGATTTTAAGCAGGAAAAACATCGTTTGGTCTCCAATAGGATCTTCTTTCTACCCGTTATTTCCTGGACTTCTTTGCAGCTTGACGGAGAGTGTGCATGCCCACAATAAACACAATCTTGCACTTTTTCGTCTTTCGTCAAAAATGTCTTCGTAGTGCCTTGTGGTGATTTTGGTCCATATCCTGAAGTTTTGTCAAATTTCCTTTCGACGGGCTTGATGTTATCGCTCAGTTCCCTGGCTTCAATTTCCTTTTCGACGATCTCCAATATTTCTTTTATCGGCCAAACTTCCTCGGTCGTCTTTCTGGCGACATGCAATGTAATTTCTCGCGGCATTCTTGCCATAAGGATTGGTACTAATAAACTGCCATAACTTGCAGAACTCATACCAAGGGCTTCAAGCCCCCTTACGTGTACATTTATGCTGTCGTAAATGAAGCGCAATTGCTTCACGTTTTCGTTTGGGCAGTTTTGTAGCCCAAGGAGAGCCTGCATATGCGTCGAGATTATTTGTTGTTTGTTGCCAAACCTTGCCTTCAAAATTTCCATTGCATTTAAATAATTTTGTTCCGTCAGTTCGAGTCCTGATACTGCACGGTATGCTGGACCCTCCAACAAATTCACCAAGTAGTTGAGCTTATCAACTGCAGTTATGCTTTCGTTTTTATCTATGGCATTCTCGAAACTCTGCAAAAAAGACATGAAACGTGTAATATCTCCGTTAAATCGTGGGAGCGTTATTTTTGGCAGACGAATGGCAACAGAACCCATGGTAACCCCGCTTGTATTGAGACCATGTTCGTTATTTGTTGCTTCTTCAACGTTTTCAGCTTCTCTGGAAGGCGTTGACGTAATAATTTGTGTCGTTCCACTCCCAACTCCGAATGCATTGGTCTGAGCGTAACGACCGTCTTTAAAAGCTTGAATTCTTCCCAGAATTTCATCGATTCTGAAATTCAGCTCCGTCGTTTCATCGATTTCTTTTTCGATGTTAACGTCTGGACATAATTCCAGTATCTTTTTGTTTAGTCCGTTCACATACGTTTGCTTTTCTCGAAGAGATTTTGTACCGTTTCTAAACGAATCACCTTCTCGACTTGTTCTCCATTTTCATTAATTAGTTCTTCAAGAAGAGCCGTGGCTTGTCGTTCAAGCTTCGTAATGGAGGTTCTATTTCCTCCTCGTATTGCTAACAATTTCTTTAATTGTCCACTGTTACCTTCTGTATCAGTGGCCATGATTTCGTCGTATTCCGTGCCCCGCGTTGGGCGACATTATATTTTGAACATAGCTTCGGTAGAGCGTAGACGTGAATGAAACTCCATATCGTTGATTTTATCTTTAAATATATACAAAACGTGACTATATACAGCTATAACGTAAACGTAACTTGTTAGCCCATCATAAACTTGTAGCGTGACTTTATCGTAACTTCACTACTTCAAAACTTAACCTTACAATATAGGGCGTGAATATATTACGTAAGAAGACTGGGACGAGTAGGAATCCCCCACGACGCGTGGGTTGCGAAATATATTGACTTCACAAC